ATAACTGATAACATTTCAAACAATCTCCTCACCATCCCGGTTTTCTTTCTGTAGACAATTTGCCAATAAATACTTTTGGTGATGGTTGTGATGGGGGGAGATGCAGTGCCCGGGAATGATCAGAGTCAGGTAGAGTAAATCAGGAAAAGCTTCCCGAAGGAGATGAGTTTGAGAGGAAGTAAAGGACATAGATAAGAGGAGGGGGGCATAAGTCATTCTGGTTGAGGAGTAGAGTGAACAGAGATGGGGTGTATGCTGGGACAAGGCAATACATGGCAAATAGATTCATTTTTCTGGAGCTGAAGGTCCACATAGAGGCATCATGAGCAATGAGACTGACAAAAATGGAGAGTTAATAGGCAGAGAGGCTTTGAAAGTTTGATTAACTTCGTCCTCAACACTCCTAAAGAGTGTCAATTTCATCCGTATGGGGTGTTCTCTCCATCTGGGCAGATTGTGACCCTTCCATATTATTCATTTATTAAACAAATATTTATTAACATTGTGTAGATTCCTATGCCAGGTGCTAGAAGATGACACAAATTTTAGATTTTTACATACTCGTTGTCTTTATCAAACTTAGAATTTAGTGGCAAGGAAAAGATACACCCACAAATAACTATAATATACATAAGGAAAGTACAACAAGGTGCTATATGAGGTCCTAGAAGGAAAACCACACCAGCATGGGGCTCAGGGAAGGCTTCCTAGAGGAAGGGCCTGGAGGTTAGTTGTTGTTTTTATTTAATTAAGTTTTTATTGATGTCTTAAGTGTCTTACATCTTAGTTATTCACAGTACCCCTCCCATGCCGGAGAGCTATCCCATACAACATATAGTATTTTTTAAAGAGGAAAAAAAAATCAGTACAACTGATCAAGACATTGGAAAAGTCCAAAAACATGTAAAATGTGTAACACTTAACTCCTACCTCCATGATAAGGTGAGCTGAGGGTATCCTGAGGTTAATCTTTAAATCATGGGTAAAGATAGCTGAAAAAGAGATGGCTTTCTAGACGTAGAGAATAGTGAGCAAAGACACAGAGGTGAGAAAGGGCAGGGTGTAGGATACTTTCAGATGTCAGCATGACATATAAATGGAAATACCCCATAGATAGTTCATAAACACAGGACTAGAACAGGGCTTCTTAACCTTTATGTCATAGATCCCTTTGGCAGTGTCTGGTGAGGCCTATGGAGCCCTTTTCAGAACCACTTTTTTGAAAATAATATTTTATTTTTCCCAATTACATGTAAAGACAATTTTTAATATTCACTTTTTGTAGGATTTTGAGGTCCAAATTTTCTCCCTTCCCCCTCCCCTCCTGCTTCCCTAAGATGGTAAGCAATTTGCTACAGATTGTATATGTACAATCATGTAAAACATATTTCTATATTAGTCATGTTGTGAAAGAAAAAGAAAACAGAACAAAAGGGAAAAAAACACACACACAAAAAATGAAAATAGTATGCTTCGGTCTGCATTTAGACTCCATCAGTTCTTTCTCTGGATGTGGATAGAATTTTCTACCATGAGTCTTTTGAAATTGTCTTGGATTATTGTATTGCTGAGAAGAGCTAAGTCAATCATAGTTGGTCATCGCACAATGTTGCTATTACACAGTTATACATGTGACACATGTACACAGGTATAATAGAGCCATATTTTCAAATGAATAAAATAAAATACATAGGTTTACAAAAGAAACCAATTATGTTGAAATAAAGATAGAATTTTTTTTTTTCCATACAAGTTCAAAGCAATCACAGACTCCAAGTTAAGATCTCCTGGACTAGAGAGGACAAATGATAAATGTGATGGTCTTCAGCATACGGGTAATATCTGAAAATAAGTGAGTAGTAGATAAGCAGCCTGGGTATCAAGAACAACTTCCCTTCCTTAATACTACTCTCCGTTTGTAATGAGAAGGAAAGCCACAAACTGATGCTTCATAGTGACACTGAGTCACTGGGGCCCAGGACCAGATATTCCAAGCTTATTCCTGTTGTGACCCGATTAGGCCTGGCTATGTCCCTGGCTAATTCCTACTACCCACAGAAACACAAGATGAACAGATCCATGACATAGGATCCCTGGTGTCCCAAAACACAGCACTAACAGCCTGAGAGTCTGAATCCTAGAGAATGGGATGAGAGGGAGATACACAAGCTCACTCATGGAAAAAAGTGCTGGTTAGAACACCATGATGGAAGAAGCTCTCTAGGTGTTATGACCCGGCCTCAACCTCCATGTAAGTAATTCATCTCAGCTGTGTTATATATTTGCTTTGGTTTTTCCAAAACCAGAATATCTATTCTCTAGATTTTCTGGTACCTAACATGGATCTTCTTTTAACCACTGACACTGGGAAAGGATTGCAGAACAACTGGACCAAGACAACCGATAGCACATGTAATTTTAATTGTAGTTTACCTTTATTTGTAAATAACCATTTCTTTACTTATTTTACATTCTTTTAAAAGAAGTTTGAGTTCCAGATTCTCACTTGCTCCAGCCTCTCCCCCCACCCACTGAGAAAGTAAATAACATGTGAAGTCACGTAAAACATATTTTTATATTAGCCATGTTGCCCTCTCCCTCCCAAAAAAAGCAAGAAAAATAACAAAAGTTAAAAATATACTTTAGTCTGCTCTGAGTTCATCAGTTTTCTCTCTGGAGGGGGATAGAATTAGTTCATCTTTCTTTCTTTCTTTCTTTTGCTTTTTGTCTAGGCAATGGAGTTAAGTGACTTGCTCAGGATCACATAGTAAGTGTCAAGTGTCTGAGGCCGGATTTGAACTCAGGTCCTCCTGACTCCGGGGCCAATGCTCCATCCACTGCACCACCTAGCTGCCCCTAGTTTATCTTTCTTTAAAAGAAAGGATGAGTGTTTGTGTCATAAATTAGTACCAATGATGTCCAAAATTTTCATTTGAGTTTTGTTACCATACAAAGTGGTTGCAATAAATTGTAGCAATGTTGATTTATAGCTCTCTTTCTCAGTTTTATCCCTTCCTTATTTGAGAATCAGGACTAGCTTTATCTCATAGAAAGGGTTTGTCAGATTATCTTTTTTTCTCTGTTTTTGAAAACAAGTTTATATAGCTTAAGGATATTTTATTGTTGTTATTTGGTTGTTTCACAGAATACATTTTTAAATCTATCTGGTCCTAATGATTTTTTTCTTCCACAGGAATTTATTTATGGATTGTTCAGTTTTACTTTTACATAGTTGGCTTTTAAGTTATCCTCTTTACGTTTTTCTAATTATGGTATTTTACATTTTTGTAGATGTTCATCCATATCATTCAAGTTTTCAGTTTTGTTGCCATATGATTTGGTATCATAATTTCTGATGATTTTATTTCCCCCATTTGTTATGAATTCTGTGTTTTAATTTTTTGCTTTGTTTATTTGACTTCTCTCTTTTATGAAATTAGCTAGTTATCTATAAATTTTGTTCATTTTTAAAAAAGAATCAGCTTTTTGTTTTAGTAGTTCAATTCTTTTTTTTTAAAATGTTAGTTCATTTTGTTTAAGTTGGCTTTCTTATTTTTACTTTTTAAAGAAAAGCTCTTTTATATCTATTTTGGGATTATTTGTTTTGTAGTTTAAATTGAATTAATTTAAAAAAATTTTGTTTCTTTGATTTAGTCTTTGACCCACTTATTATTTAGAATGTTTTTTTAAAGATATAGTTAAGTGTTCATCTTTTGTTCACGTTTCCTTTACTGATGATAATTTTATCACATTATCATCAGTAAAGGATACGTTTAAGTTTTTGTCTTTTTACATTTGTCCGTGAGTTCTTTGTGCTTTTGCATGTGATCAACTTTTTATCTAAGAAACATGTCTGTTCTCCAACATGTACCCATTCAGAAGTCTCCATAGATCTAACAAATTGAAATTTTCCAACATCTTCTTCATGTCTATAATTTCTTTCTTGTTGTTGGATTTATTGAACTTTGAGAGAGGGCATGTGGGACATACACTTGGAAACATAAGCAGTGGAGGATGTAATGGTGAATAATGTGAAAGAGGGTTGTAAAAAGCAAATCCTTCACTAGATTGTGAAGAGCCTTGAATGCCAGGCTAAGGAGATTGGATTTTATTTAGTGAGCAATGGAGGGTTTTTGAGTAGAGAAGTGACAATCTGATTAGAGCAATGTTGCTAGGGGGAGTTCATCTCTCCTTCACCCCTTTTCCCCAGATGTTTTGGGAAGAAATTGTGAGTAATCTGAATAGCCTTAGCAGCTGCACTCAGAGGGAATTGTGGTAGACTATGATAACTAGGGAGAGTGAAAGATTACTCGTTTTCGTCCTGTATTTTATTGTTTCTGGGTACTGTAGTCTTAATTGCCATCATCCCTTCTGAACCTCTAGACATGTGATGGACACTGCTAATGCAGGTAGGATCTATACTACCCTGGTACTGGAGGAGAGATGGTAAGGAAAAGCAATCTATCCCAGGTTAAACAGACGTTGGGAAATTTTTGCAACCATCCAGGGTGGGTGTAATGAGGACTTGAACTATCTTGGTGTAGGTAGTGGAACTAGAGAAAGAAGATAGGGATATAAGAGATATTGCCCAAAGAAGTTTTTAAAAAATGTTACCTTTTGTAGCTGTGTCACCAAAAGTTGTGTCCAAACACTTACTATGTCTAGAGCCCTGTGCTTGATACTAAGAAACAAGACTCATCTCTAGTTGTGTGACCTTGGCCAAGTCTGTGACTTGCCCTCTATGACCCTCAGGTTCCTCCTCTATAAAATGAGGCAGCTGGACCCAATGGTCTCCAAAGTCCCTCCTAGCTCCAGACTTGAGGACCCTGATGAACGTTCTTTCAGAACTCGAGCATGATCCACCAGCAGATGAAATGCCCTGGTAATGAAGCCTCCAGGAATGGAATGCCTTAAGAGAAGCTATAGCCATAACTGAAAGAGAACATTCTCCAAGGGAGGGTTGAGAAAGTAAATTTAGGTCACTTCTGTTTGTGTGTCAGGGTTGATGAAGGGAACAATAAACTTCTGGAGACTGACAAGAAGCTCCAGGAGGAGCGGCACAGATGCGTAGTTTTGGAACAGCAGCTGGAAAAAACCAAAATGGACACAGGCAAGGCCACAACTTCCCAGAAGTCGGCGACAAAGACCAAAGCAGGTAAGAAGCGTGAGTCAGTAGCTGAGAAGTCGCGTGGCCAGAGATAGGCTATGGGAGGGAATTTATTACTCGCAGTAAGGTCTGTTTCCTATGTATGAAATCCCTAGGAAGAGATAGAAAAAAGAACTTCCTAAAAATTAGAGCAATCTCAGGTGGGATGGTTGGCCACACGAGATCATGAAGTTCCTGCAGCACAGGCTGAATGGTCAGCTGTTTAGGGTATTTGCAAGGTCATTCCAGTTCAGGTAAAAGCAGGAGGAGATGGCCTCTGAGCTTCCTTCCAATTTCTAAGATTCTGAGAGTCTGTGATAATTTACTTATAAAATGGCCATCTTGAAAAATTAATTCCCTTCCCTAAGAAAGGGTTTGGTTGTTTTTCTAGTTGTCACAGCTGGAACAACTGGGGTTGTCTCTAGAGATGATAAGAATAACTTGCATTTCTTTCTACAGCACTTTAAGGTATTTCCTCCCAATTGTCCTGAGAGGTAGGTAAAGCGAGTATTGTTATCCCCATTTGACAGATGAGGAAACAAAAGCAATGTGACTTATCCAGGGTCATGTAGCAAGTGAGTCCTCTTCTTGCCCCTGAAGCTCTCCCAGTAGAGGCTGTATGACCGCTTCTCAGAAATGTCATAGAGGACACTCCTGTTCAGATACAGAATTGGACTAGATGTTCTCTTGCAGTCCCTTCTCCCTGAAGACTTCTGTCACTAAAGTAATACCTTTATTAACAAAGAGACGGCATTGCAAAGACCCTTTGTCGACCAACATTTTATTACTAGAGATAGAAATACTGTAGGAGGCCACGGATACAGGCAGGCTTGTGGAGTCCTTCTCTGACCCATCCTAGCCGGGTGCTCCCTTCTCCCATCCAGGTACACCAAGATCTAATGGCGTGGTGAAAATAGCACTCTGTGGAATCAAAGGACCTACCTAGGTTTGAATCCTGGCTCTGACCACAACTAGTAGTGTGACTCTGGACAAGCCATTGGACCCTTCGTCTGGGCCACGTTTTCTTTATCTGTTAAAGGGGTGGAAAGGACCAGTTGATCTCTAGCTCTGGCCCTACCAGGGCCAAAAGTTGCAGAGACCGGTATGATGAGGACTCAGAAAAGGTCATTGGGTTTTTAGCAGTTTTGGTCACCATGTAAAGAGCAGATTTGGCCAAGTGGTGTCTTGGAAGCAAGATTTAGAAGTGATTAGGAAGTGAAAGCAATGAGTGTAGACCTCTTTTTTTTTTTAAAAGAGATTTTTGTTATAAAAAGGAAAAAAAAGCATGACAAATTAAGGAATGCTAGAGTTAGGTGAAGATTTTTTTTTTTAGAGCATGAGCATCTGCGATGGAACCAGTCAGTAGGAAGAGATTTCCACTCTACCATGCTTCCTTTCCTGTATGGAATGGAGGCTGGCAGTGGGAGTATAATACCTAGAAACAGTAAAATGTCAGAATGGGAACTGGTAACAAGTTTCCTTCTCCCCTCATTAGAGCCCCTTCTCATTTAGTGCAGCTGAGCCAGGAGGCCTGGTGAACACCTGTGTCATAAACCATGAAATTTAGATCTGGAAGGGACCCCAGAGATCTTCTCCTTAAACCCCCTCATTTTATAGCCGAGGAAGCCAAAGTCCATAGGGGTTCAGAGATTTGGTTAAGATTATATTGGTAATGAATAGTGCAGCTGGGCTTCAAATCCAGCTGGCCTTGACTCCTAATCCAATGCCCTTTCCATACTATGTTGCCAACTCAAGTACTCAGAACTGGTTTATGGAACTCCTTAAAATCCTGCTCACTCCCCACGATCTGTTTGAAATTTCACCTAGCTGAAGGTGAAATGGAGAGTGGAATTAGAGGGTACATCACATTTTAAGGTCTGTCAGCATCCATGAAAAGCTATTGCTGGTGATGAAGTAATTAGACCCCCTGTAATTTATTACCATTGAAATATGATAATCTGCTGCTATAAATATGAAAGCTTCACTAACACGGTTAAAAAAAGAATTCACTGCAGAATGTTAACATTTTATTCCCTTGATCAGACTCTTTTATGGCTTGTGGACTATAATCCTATAAATGCCTAATGCCATGAAACTATTCACATCCCTGGAAAGAACTTCTCATTTTATGTTTAATTTAATGAATTAATAAAGCCCTAAAACAGAGGGTGTTACTCAGGATCAAGTATTGATTTGCTAATAAATCACCAGCAGAGGTTTTGTTGTTCTCCTAATAAGTGTTGTAGACCCAGATTAGACTCATAAGTCATAAGACTCAGAGCTGGAAGGGACTTTAGAACCCAGAACCCAGAATGTTGGAACTGGGAGGGGCGTTCGAGGCCATCTAGTGCCAAGGGTCCATGGAGAGATTTCAGGAGGGCCTTGAACTTGGGTGGGAAAAAAATGACACCTTTATTTTTACTAACCTCTAACTCAGGAGTTCTTAACGTGTGTGTGTGTGTGTGTGTGTGTGTGTGTGTGTGTGACCCCTCTGGCAGTCTGGTGAAACCTACGACCCCTTCTCAAAATCATATTTTTAAATGCATAGAACAGAATACATGGAATTGTAAAGAGACCAATTATATTGAAATAGAGGCATCAAAATATTTTTTAAAAGTCATAGCCCCTTCAGATCAATCCATGAATATCTTGGGGTTCTGTGGAACCCGGCTTAAGAACCATTGCTCTAATTGAAGTTTAGTATTTTCTTCGATTTTGAGTTTAGGAAAAAAAACAAAGGGTTCCATAGGTTTCCCTAGACTGCCCAAGGTATCTGAAACACACACAAAAAGGTTAAGAACTCCTGCTGTAGTCCAAACTCCTCATTTTATATATGAGGAAACTGAGGTTTGTCAGAAGGCAGAGGATTTGTGTCGGTGCTCTTCTCACTCTGTGACAATGTCTCTCTTCTTTTAATTGCGTTCTCCTATCCCAGCTATTAAGCTAAAACAATCCTCCCTATCTGGGACGTGGTTTACGTTTCAGAATCACTGAAACGTTGGTAGAGAGCATGACTAGTTCCCCACATTTCTGGATCAGTCTTTCAGTTTTAGCAGCCTTCTTTTTTTTGGGGGGGGGGAGGTGGCACGGCCAACTGTGTACAGTAAGCCCTGGGGTTCTCCTGCGTTTATTGATTATTACACCCATCTGGCCTCTACTCAAGTCCTTCTGCAATGTCTTATTATGTCAAGGAGGTACCCAGGCGTCTTGAAAGCCATTTCAATTCTGACAGGTTCTTCCAAGCAAGAAAAGCTTGGAAATACAGACCTAGTGATGGAATCTTTTACCTTTTAGGTAGGACTAGCCTGCGTAAGTGTGGATAGACTCTTCAATGGAGGGTTAGTCACTGGTTTGGTAACTTTTTGGCCATGGCAAAACATCAAAAGTCAGTCAGTCAGTCAACAAGTATTTATTAAGCACTTATTATTATGTGCCAGAGATAGAAGGCCAATGGTCTGCCTTAGTTGAGGGAGTAGTTACTGAGTCATGCAAAAATAGTGCTTTAAAAGCATCTTATAAAGTAAATGCTTCCCCACCCTCAATTGTGATCCTTCCAAGTTCCCAAACAAGAGTTAATGCAAGGTTGTCCCAATGGAGTCATTGCTACGATCATGTCAATGAGCTATCAGTCTCATCAATGGCAGTCTATATATTGCCACAAGATTGGGCAATACCGTACTTATTGGTCACACACACACACACACACACGCACGCACGCACACACACACACACACGCACACACACATCCTGAGGGACTGGAGCTGGGAGGGGAGGTTCTTCTGCTCCTCAGCCCAATTTTCCCTCCACAGATCTAAGTTTCCTCTCCCATTGGTCTTTCATGGATCCTTATGCACTCTCTTTTTAAATTCACCTTTGATGTTGTGGAAAAAGTACTGGACGTGAGTCAAGAGATATGAATCTGAATCCTGGCTCTAACACTCACTAGCTGCCTTACCCATAGCAATTTCATTTTTCTTGGAGAGTATTGGACCTGGACTCAGGAAGACCCAAGTTCAAATGTGGACTCAGACACTTACTAGCTATGTGATCCTGGGCAAGTCACTTAACTCTGTTTGCTTCAGTTTCCTCATCTGCAAAATGAGCAGGAGAAAGATATTGCAAACCACCCCAGTATCTTTGCAAAGAAAACCCCAAATGGGGTGACAAAGAGTCAGGCACAACTGAAATGACAGCAGTTAAACAACAATTTAGTAGCTGTGTGGCCTTGAGTAAGTCATTTAAACTGTTTGCCTTATAGTGATGGTAAAGTATAGGAAGACCAGAAAGGTTGTGGGGAGGGTCTAGGTTAGGGAGGACTTTGAACGCCAAACAGAATTGTTATATTTGGTCCTGGAGGTGATAGGCAGCCACTGGAGTTTACTGAGGATGAAGGGGGGGGGCAGGCAGGGTATGGTATGGTCAGACTAGCGCATTAGGAAAATCATTTTGGTGGCTAAAAGGGAGATGGAGGAGATTGGGGACAGGCTTGAGGCAGAAGAGAATGGGTCGTGTCAGGAATTTGTGGATCTCCCTCACCACTGTTCTTCACGTGTAGCCTCAGTGACCACTTGCCAGGGATGCTGTACAATAGAGCCAGGCTCAGGTAGGGCTTATCTCTGAGGTCCCTTCCAATGTCTGTGATTCTCTGAAAATCAGTACTCAATTCCCACACATCAAACTCTCTTCACATTGTTGACATCCCATCATCATGGTCTGGTCTTTTACCTCTGTTTTTCCTACCTTTCATCATCCCTCCCACCTGCCCCATGATATCTTTGGCACTTCATCCCACCTGGCCATTAGGGCTTTATTTGCTGCCTGGACAACAGAGCCACCAAGGGAGGGGCTTAGGCTGAGAGAATGTTTCTGTTGGTGCTGACTTGTGTCAAAGACAGAACTCCCAGCTTCTGGGTGAAGGGTGTTTTCTATCTTATGGGTGCCAGAATTCTAGCCTGTGCTTGTCACTATTTAAGCTATTTCTTAGCCCCAGCTATTTATTTTTCCAGAGG